TAGAAATTATGGTGGTAGACTACCTCGTCTGGGATGGAGAATCGCCACGAAATGCCTTATCGAAATTTCATAATGGTTTCTCAGCCTGCTACAGCCGTTCAAGAGTACTGTGTATATGTGGCCTCCACAAGACACTGCCAACCTAGAATGTTAGAGGAGGCTTCCTGCTATTCGCACTTACTTTCCCCGATCCGGTGATGCATGTTGGTGAAGTCGTTTCAGGCCACAGTGCTCCCAACGTTACGGTTGTGTTATTTGACATGACCGCTGACACAGAGGATTGAACAGACACCTTGACGGGGTAATTCAACTCCGAAGACCAGCACTATCTTTCGCTGACTTTTTAGCATGTAACTCCAGCCTGCGTGATCGGAATACGAGTTATGACCCTACCTCGGCCGATCAATATTAGCATGCTATCTGGCCCTGAACCCTCTCTAACCTTTCAATGAGGGTAGAGAGAGTACGAAGCCAATCACAGGTTCGACGACGTTCATGTAGCATAGACCTTGTTATCTGATGAAAAGACAGAAAGTAAAGCCCTCGAGTGCCCAGCGCTTTGACCTTGGATTCGAAAGACCAGGCTAGTCGACATGTGATATCATATCTGTGTGAAGGACTATGCCATGCGCCGGACGACCATCTGGTGCAAGACTGGGACATCCCGACTGGAAAGCATAAAGCAGAATATTTGTTGATTTTCAGGTCTTTCCCGTCTGTCTGCTCTTGAACCGGCAATCTCGAGTTCACAATGGGATTGTATCGGTATTTGTTAACACGCGTATCCGATACAGCCAAAACCATGCTACCTTTCTATCCTCTGTGCAAATGAGACGCGCAGAGACCGCGAACGAGCATTTGCGGTCACTTCCTTGCACTGGTTAGGAAGAACGAATAAGTACTTGTCTCTTAGAATTATAGCAGTCGCCTTAATCATCAATAGCATTTCGATAAGTGAGGAGTCAAGGGAAACGATCAGGTGTCCAGGAAACCAATCAACCTACCTCACCTTAGTTGAGACATCGTGACTGGGGTCGAAGACTAATTCAAACGAAGAAGCGTGGTTCCGAATTCATGGGAGCAAAAATCTGTAACGATATCGTAGAGTCCAGGCAATGACTGCTGCGCCACTGGCGAGTGTGTGTAAACCGATGACATCTTCTAAATATTTATCCCCCGATCTCCATGGCTCAAAGATAGTTTGGTAGTGAAACGATCATCAATCAATTACAGAGATTCCTCGATAATGTTGATCCCCGTGATTTTGAAAGGTACGGCTGATAGGTTGGTGAGGGCAATGCAACCTAGTGTGGGAGCACACAATGTTTGTCATCAAGAGACCTTATTAAGAGCTGCCACAGATACGCGCTACTTTCTTAAGCTCTATATATCGTGCTCTTCGAGAAGAAAAAATCGGCCATTTAGACAGCAGATGATCAGACCGCCAGAGATACCGAATTGCCTATCCTTCATGTGAATCTGGTCATGCTCGCGGCCACTAAGATTAGTGAACCTGCAAGTGCCCCAACCTAGTACAATGGAAAGAAGGACCCGGTGATTCAGTACCACTACATCGCTGCTCATGACCCTCGTACTTATATATATGATGAGAAGGCGTCTTCGCTCTCCAGTAAAGCTGCACTCGATATGTACCTAGCGTGGGAGTGTTGCAATCGTTATGCGAGAATCAGTGCCTGGTAGCTCAGACATCATGTTCACGTTCAAATCGACATGTGAGCCGAGGTCTTCAGTGGGGTGGGCTTCAGCGGCTACAGGGCTTGCAAGGCATCAGTGCGGTGCTGCGGGTACCTTCTCAATTCCAGCTCTACTCTGTCCCCCCAGATGTTGCTATCTGCGCAGGTTGCAATAGTACGGGCTGGAGCTCCGAGCCTGAGAACAGGCGGGTTCTTAGTAACAGAGTCACATGATAGGTAGTCTCGAATGTATTTGTAATAATGGCCAACTTGGCCTTGGATGTGCGCAAATGTCAAGTTTCTACCAATATATAGCCCAGCTCAGACGTCATCGACTCTGGGCAATGAACCCTCCTACGGGCATGAAAACTGGAAATCAAAGTCCAACGCCATTTATATGCATTGAGATGCTCTCGTGATCGTGATCAATCGAACTTACTGTTGGCTGCCAACGTAAGTCTCACTGGTCGCGTCGCCGACAATGACGGTGACGTTGTAGTTGGACAGGGTCGAGGACGAGGAGGCGCCGTACAAGCTATACAGGCCAGCTGAGACAACGTACTTGCCAGCTGCGAGACCAGCAGGGATCGTGACTGTTTCGGTGATGTTGTCGAGAACATTGGACTTTTCTACATCGTGTGTTAGGAAACGGCGGCAAAGTATCAGCGTAGTTGTCTCGAGAAAACGTACCAGGTCCGAGGTAAAATGAGCCCAAGACGTTCTGGCCGAGAGTTCCGGGGTAGGCGGAGGCCTCGGGGGCGATTCCAAAGGCAATCGCGATATCCGCGACAGTCTGGATGTAGTTCTCAGTCTCGATGATAGCCTGGACCTCATCACCGGCCTTGACGGTCTCGGGGAAGGCGATGCCGTAGATGCGAGCGTTGGCCATGGCGAAGAGGCCGGCGGCGGCAGCGAGAGAAGCGCGGAACTGCATCTTGAGAAATTGGGTAGGTGTTTGTATTAAGTTTAGTTGATTAGATCGTACAGGGTAGCTGCGATGTTTAGATATATCGGAAGTAAAGTTGCTTAGAGTATGTCTGACTGTAAGGAGAAGGGAATGAAGTAGGCGAGAAGGGGTTTGTCTGATGTTTTTATGCATTTCCATCACAAACGTCAAATGAACGTTGCCAGAGACCCTTGTCGTCTGTACTCCCATGTCTATTTTCGTACGAGGCGACGTCAGGATCCCCAAAGAATATCTCCGTAGGCGAAAGTCGCCTGGGCATGACATCGTTGGGCGGTCCCGGGTCACCCGTGCCAGCCGAATGCACGGCTCCGACTCAAGCGGGTGGCGCTGCGGCTCGTGTCGCCATCGAAGCAATGTCTTAGAGCATGCTCGATGGCACGGGTAAACGGACTGGGCAGTTGGGCCTAGTGCATGATGTGAGTAGTAAGGTAGTACTTAGTACTCTAGAAATGTTCCTATTCTGTCTATTCTTGGTAGTCACCGCCGTTTCCACGGCGTCCGCCGCGACCAACAAGTCACTATATTTGCCTCGAAGTGCGAGGAGGAGGTAACTTGCCGGGGCGTCGGGTGCCGGGAAATTCTGGGGAGAATGCCATGATCGGGGAAAGGGGGCGGGCCACAGGGCGAAGCTGCAGGACACTAATCAAACTTTGGCCAAGTGCTCGACGCTGATCGGGTCGATCTTTATAAATAAAAACAACATTGGTGAATTGGAGGATGACAAAAGCTCGTATATCTCTTGCAAGGAGCCGTACTAGAGATGATGGCATTGGTCCGTTTGAGGCACTGCGCAGTAGTATTAGGGAGTTTGCTTTTCTTCGCCTCGCTGCAAGTAAACGAGCCCACAAGATGACGAGAACGACGAGAACCGCCGGACTTGGCTTCTCTTATGTCCATCACGGTAACGTTTCAGCGGCAGCGAGCACCCTCACACGTCAGATGGTCCTGCTAAGAGTGTCTCCAGTTTGGACGGCGTGGGCGGGAAGCATGGCGCAATAGAACACGAGCAACAGGGCCGGGGAACCCAGCTAGAGAGAGATGCGCGCGCCACTTTAGGGGTCCAATTGCCTAAAGTGTGCGCTTGCTTCCAGCGGAAAACAATCGATCTCTGGCCCAGCTTGCTTGTTTGTGATTGAGTCTTCTTCAATGGAGCTGACATGTCGGTTCAATCTGACTTCATTCACATTGTCCTACATCATTGTGCATTCATCGAATACATTTTACACGTTGTCTACGGGTAGCTTTAGTAAATCACGTCTCTTCAACACAGCTCGGACAGGCGCGACAAGCACACTTTGCGGCATGAGTCAAGGAAACAGAAGACCGTTGCATTCACACCAACGTGTGTGTAATCTTGCAGGCGGCGCAAAAAAGTAGCCACGAAATGGTCGTCAAAAAGGCAAAAGGTTTTGTCGTCACCCACAGGATTCGAACCTGCGCGACCGAAGCCACTGGCTATCAACTCTCCAGGATAGGAATCCCAAACTAGCAGGCCAGCCCATTAACCACTCTGGCAAGGTGACTAACTGATTGTTGAGATCTCGACCTCTTTAGTGGACCATAAACTATCCATGTGGAGCTGCCTGCGAAAAGAGATCCACCACAAGCCCCTATGCAAGGGATATCCGTTAAAAAAAGGCGACGTATGCATAAAGGTGGGTGACGCCTCATGCATGCTGTACTAAATCGGATGGCAGTCAAACATGCAACAGATACATTAAATCTCCAGGCAGCACATGTTCTGTTAAGGAAGACATATCGGGCTAAGTAACTTAATCACACCTGGCCTTTCCCAAAACTGAGGAGTACAATATGTTCACCACGATTGGTATCATTCTTTTGAGTTGTCCGTCCACTTGACCATCGATCTCTAGATTGTAGATCTCGTGGTTGAAGCACCGCTATTTGCTACTGCTTGAGACCAAGTCGCAATGGGGGCATTTGAGTTTACCCATCCTCCACCCATCCTTCACCCATCCTTTGAAAAGCAATTTTATTTCACAGCGCGCAATCCGTTGTTGTCAACGATGTCAACCATTTACCGGGGAATCGTGCCTTAGTCTCAGCGTCTGTGATTTGTCTAGATTCTAGTCATTTCCTTTTTATGTGACCCGCGGAAGCATCATCTTTGTGTCTCAATCTAATTTTTCGAGGCGCTGGACCTGAAGAATTGAGGGTAAACGTCACGAAGCTCTCTTATATGACGAATTTGGAATTGGGAAGCCTGTATCTCGGGAATAGGCAACCCTTCTTCGACGAGATGGGCGGCCGTCCATCCGAGCTCTTTCGCGCTCTTGCAATTATCGTAGGAATCATCTGCAGGTTTTAGTACAAGTCATCTATTCACGAACTGAGACCAGCGGTGCATCCACCGTGCCAAAGTTTTCGGGAGTCAAGAGCTTACCAACAAAGTAACAGTCTCCCGGGTTCTCAACCCCTGCCTGTTCCATGGCCCTGCGGAACATCTCCTTGGCTGGTTTGCAGACGAATGGGTACTGGGCGTAGTCGCAGTAGGTCAGACCATCAAATAGGTCATCGATTCCAAGAAGTCGCACAACCCGCTTTCCGTGGTTGACGTAGGCATTCGTGAAGAGCCAGAGTTTGACTTTGTTGGTGTCGATATCCTCCAACAGCGCTCGGAGGTCTGCATCGGGCTTTAGGATGTCGTCGAGAGGCAACGCGTCATCCACCTTTGCGTTGAAGTCCAATGGGTCTATTTCATGATGGCGGACTAAGCCTTCGATTGCCAGGCCGTATGCCTTGTAGTATTCTCTCGTCAATCTGGAGGCTTCCTCCTCTCCCAGTGATAAGTGTGTCTCAAAATACTGCTCGATAAGCTTTGCCATGAGGTTGTGGATTCTGTGACCTAAAGAAGAACGCTAGTGAGTCCATTTGAGCTGCCCAGAATTCTGGTGCGCGGAAGAATTGGTCGACTGACTTCTAGAGTACAGACAGTTGTCGATGTCGCTGTTCCCTGACGAGTCAGTATGCAACTATTTTTTGGGCATCTCAGCTCTTAGAATTAGTTAGGTATTGAGCTTACAAAAAGAACACTGGCTTACGAGCCGTAGCGCTTCCTTTTGTTTTATCGGCCATGATGAAGTTCCTATGTGCAGTGGCTGTCGCTGGAATGTGTCCTTATTGAAGCTCTTAAATGCGGAGACCCCGCGCCGGAATGAGGTTTTGAGATTATAAAAACTGAAGTTTCGGAACACCTGCGAAGTCGCGGGAGCTCCTCAGCATCTATAAATGGCCTGCAACAGAGACTCGGACACAGTTTGGGATTAGCGTCTCGGCGGGAATTGCCCTGTGAATCAGTCATTGGAGACCGCAGATCCACTGTGGTGTCCTGTGTCATGATGCGCTACCAATTCGACTCATTTCTCGCCAGGTTGCGCTGAGCAAAGCGACGGGACATGTTTGAGAGGGAGCCAAGTCTATGATATCTGCAAGGGAAATTTTCCATCAAACATCAAAGGAACTTAGACCAAATCATAAGCCTGTCATAACGTATTATATGGGCACGAGACCATACACACAAGATGTTGAGTACACACATTCGGTCTATGACTCATTGTCCTGTCGAGAAATGCTAGTTATCGGGCAGGAAACCTAGTTCCAGCCCAAGGCATGGAAAACACGGTTAACAACACCAAGGTTGTAATGGGTAAGCGAAATCTATTAGGCATTTCTCCGTGAGTGTACCGAGAGATGCTATATGTATTTTTGTATCTTGCTTTCATGGCACAACTACAGCACAGGCTCAAGGTATATCCACGTCCCGACCTTTGGGCGGGAGAAAGGAGATTCACTCAAGTCATGGGATTATCTTTTCTATTGTTTGGCCGACGTAACAGCATGGCAGGCATCCACATTCAAGGCAATAGGCAGCATATGTCAAGTAAAATGGTTAGCTAAAGACTTTTGTAAGCCAATTTCTCTTGCACTTGTCTGCAAGGGTCAGACCCATGCCCAATTTATATACACTGAAATGTCTAGAAAACATGTACAACCGAAAGAAGGATATATGCCACGCTCGTCTCGATACATAGACCAACATTCACTTCAAAACCACATGAGAGATGAAGTTGTGGTAGAAGTGACGGCGGCCGCGAATGTCAAGTCTCAACAACTTACTGAAACACACGTATGATTAGCAACAGCAATCAGAGAGATCTATATAGTGGTACTTACAGCAGTTCCGGCGCTGTTAAAGGTAGAGCCGATGGGGCCGACCTTGATGTTGGAGAAGATGACGTTCGAGTTGGGGGCCTGGGACTCGACATCGGCGGGAACGCCAGAGTCGGTGCCGCAAGTGCCGCGAGCGGTGCCGGGGCCGGTCTCGTTGGTAGGGTAGGTGGAGTCCAGCCAGAGCATGTTGGAGTGGTGGTCATCCCAGACAGACATGACGAGAACCATACCCTCAGAGAGAGCCTTGCCCATCTGCGCAAGACCGCCCTTCTGCGCAAAGACGTCCTCATCGCCGAAAGCCTTCTTCTGGGCGGTGCAGTAGTCCGTGGTGATGGAGTTGCCCTCGACGCCGGTGATGTCGGACTTGGAGTTGGCAAAGACCTTGCCGTCCTGGACGTAGAAGCGCTTGATGTCGGTGAGGGCGCCGCCGGTCTCGACGAACTGCGTGACGACGGTGATCTTCTTGGAGGTGTCGATGGCGAACTGGGAGCCCTTACCGTAGAAGGTGGTGTTGCCCTGGCGGTAGCTGTTGAAGTCGCATCCGTCGGGGTCGCACTGGCCGGCGTAGCGGGTAGAGCTGTAGGTGCCTCCGCAGGCGTCGCCGTTGCAGCTCAGCTGGCCGACCGTCTCGCAGGGGTGAGGGGTGTAGGCGGTGGAGACGGAGTTGGCCTCCCAGATGTCCATCTCGGAGCAGCACGAGCCCATGTTTCCGACGCCGGCGTTGGCATCGTTGGAGGAAGGCACCCAGCCCTCGACGTTGGCCTTGCCGTCGATAAACTTGAGGTCGCGGGGGCACTGGCTGTCGCAGTAGCCGGTTCCATGGGAGGCACCGGCCTTGTTGGTAGGGAACTTGGACATGCCGCCATCAGCGTCCATGGAGACGAAGTACAAGGCGCCGTTCAGACCGCACTATGATCGACGTGTCAGTCAAGCTGCTTCTCTACACGTTCCCCAAACGAAGTTGGGGCTTTCACTTACACCAAGGTTGGAGACATCAACGTCAAAGGTGAACTCCTGGCCTAAGAGCTTGAACATTTGGTACTTATCTGTTCCGTCCATGAGGAACATGCGAGAGCCAATGTTCTTGCTGTAGGGGCCCTGCTGGACAAACTTGAGGTTGAGCGCATCGCCGCTGGTGGTGGCGCCGTAGGTGCCGGAGTAGTCGGCTCCGTCCAAGCAGCACTTGGAGGCACAGTCCTCGCCGGTGGTGCAGATGGAGGTGTCCCACTTGTTGCCCGTGTAGCAGTTGGTGCTGCCGTCGGTCTTGTGAGTCCAGCGCCAGTTGGCATCCACGGTGACGGATCCGTCGACCTTGGTGCAGGCGCCGCCGGCCGCGCAGTTGGACCAGGTAAGCGCAGGCTTGGTCTCCGCGTTGAGCGTGCAGACCTGCTGCGCGCGAACAGCGGCCACGAGGGCCGTGAGGGCAGAAACCTTGGTCAACATGGTGGTGATGAGATATCTTCGGACGTCAAGTCGATAAAGAACGGATGAGAGAAAAGAGTGTGTAAAGATGATCAGACGGGTCTGAACATGAAAAGAATGAATTGGAGTGCCGGAAAAGAATGTCGCGAGTGGCTTGGGATGAGGAGACGAGAGCCAAAAGTGTGCGGATGGCCTCGGACACATTATATAGACTCTCACATACTGTTTCGATCCCCCGTTCAAGGTTAAACTATCATGATGTGGTTGCGCTTAGCCCCTCCTCTTTCCACTTCCTTCCAAACTGCTTAATTTCCGTCTAGGGGCTTGGGAGCTCCTGCGAGCGGCTCGGAGTGAGTTGTGATGCATCAATTGGGAACAGTAACCCGGGATGCATCGATCATTGGAGAGTTGATGATTGTCTAGTGGGCCTGGATAGGCAAGATCGGATGTCTTCCCGCCTTGCCTAAGTCTGTATTGAGGGCCTCAGGGCAGGTGGGATTGGACGAACGTGGCCAGAGTCAATTACACGGAGACTCAGAGAGACCAAGGCAGACCAAGCCTGCTGGGCGAAGCTTGATCCGGGAGGGGCGCAACTTGGCTCTCTTGGTTCTTTCGTGGCAGCCGTCTGCAACACATTGATTAATTACCACAAGGTCCAAAGGGCTGGTGACGCGGGGTTAGGGAGTCGGTTGAGCGAGTTAGCACAGCACATGTTTGCCGCAACCCGTCGTAAGGTGACATCGTGGGTCTTCTCCGCAAAGTCAAGCAAAGCCAAGTTGGGGTCTATGCAAGGGACACCCGGGCGGAATATCTCCCACCGCCCTCCGTTTGGGAGAAGCGTCTCCATGCGATTGGACGAGTAATATCCGCCGCCCCTGCTTGCACCGGAGGACACGGCATTTATTGAGCATTACCGAAGCTACTGACGCGGGTGTGACGGCGTCAACTTACCCCAACAATCAACTTATATGCGGCAGACGTAGTGGTAGTCTCAGTTAGACTAGCAAGCGTGGCAAGTTATCGATGAAGAGTTGCTTGTTCGGCAAACTGGCGTGGGGAGAAATTTTTCAATCCCAGCTCAACAGCAATGCGTCCTAGTTTGCTCCGTCCGCTCTGCGATTAATAGTATTTGCCTCAATCTCTCTCAATAGGAACTCGGTCCACCATCGTGCACAGTCACCAACGTGGGGTGCTGAACCGCCGACATCCGGTCAAAGTTGACAATGCCCTTGGGTCTTGGCTCACCACTTTCAGATTCAACCGCAACGAAATGCGACCAGACCTTGACCGTAATGCTTGCAGCTGCGCCTGAGGAATCACTATGTCTGACGAGAAAACAGAGTTGAGTTCTCTTTATCCCATCCCTCAATCTTCCCCCTTAGTCTAATTTACTTTTGGGCCCCCTTTTCCTAGTCAGGACATGCCTGTTTTGCGGCTTCATACTGCCGGTAGTGGGGCCGTGGGCCCACGGAGCATCGAGCGGAATGACGGACCGTCAAGAACAGTCCACCTATCGAAGTCACTCAGCCGAGTACGGTCCTCGTCTTCTCCCGAGTATCGCGCTGCTTAGTTGAGGTATAAGGCTTCATTACGTAGTTAATGCTACTCCAGATTCCCATATCTTAAATCTCTATCTCGGGCAAAAGTACCATGGTTCCTCCAAATTTCGGGCCCCGGGAATCGAATGCATGCAGAAATCCTTGAGAGCGCTAATTTTGTTGATGCCTGTTACGGAGGGTATCGTACCGCACTCTTGGATTGTAAATGATCAGCCTCAATCACCTTTACCCGCCTCTAGCGCGCCTCCGGTGTGGAAGCCGAAGCTTTGAGGCTCCGTATCTGACGGCTTGGCCTCGTCTTGGCCATGAGAGAAGGCCAATGTTCGCGTTGCCATCCGAGACAGGAAATGGCTCGGAGATGGTATGCTCGGTCTCCATTTACCAACGGCTTAAGATCTCGGAGCCGAAATGGAAAGTCATTCAGGTGTACTCCCATTTTGGCATGGATATTGCATCGTCCAAAGGAAACAGATCTTGAACCATACACTGACGGAATATCAAGCCGCACGGTGGAGCGCCTTTGGCTTAAACATGGGTGAATAGCGAGAACCATTAAACTTCGTCCCACACTATCTGACCGTCGAGCCGGCAACTCGGGTGGAGAATTAGCAGCAACTCTAGGTCACGGATGCTACCGCGCCGTTGGAACTATGATTCAGTGAGGAGATGAAGCTTATCCGAAATAGACTGTTCAAAAAGTTGGGCGGTGCGAAGTCCACGGGAATATGAGTGTGGTAATCTAAGCCTCTTCCACAAGTATGGCATCAGCAACATTCTGAGCTTATCAGGTAGGAAGATAAGACTTGCCAAAATCGCGAACCCCGCGATGAAGGTTGAGGCTCGAGACTTTATATCCTGATCCAAACTCAGACTTGGGGGGCGAGCGCAAGCTGAAGAGAGACCCATCATGAGAGCAAGTCTGGCCAACCAAACATCCCTCTTTGTCAGTTTCTTGTCAGGCTGCGTGTTGAAAGTCAACTTTAAGATCGGCCGTTTGTTTCGTCAGAGAAAACCCCCGACTCTTGATTGCACCAGCCACTGTAATGATGCAAGCCCAATAGGTAGGTCAAGGTTGACGTTCAGAAACAGAACGGACAATCATGCTCAGCAAATCAAACAAGCAAGAAAGGTTGGTGTGCAGTGCAGTCGTGACTGACTCTCTCATCTCACCGGGATCTACTGTGCATCCTTTCTCGATGAACTACCGATTGGACTAGATGAGCAGACGAAAGGACAGAGTTTTGCAATTGTTAGGTTTCCCCAGTCTGTCGTCGAAACGGTTGAAACGATGACTGAGAGAACAGACGCCGAGCGATCACCGACCATCAACCAAGTTTTTGGTGCTGCATTGATGGGAATCAGCAACAACGAGACGATTCTCGCGATGCGAGAGCGACAAAAATCTGCGTGATCTTCTCAGGGACTCGCAGTTCTGCAATTCATAGTAGGTGTGAATATCAATCATGTGGAAGGATGCATTCAGATCATTCATTATTGACTCTCAATCATATGCAAGGTACCAACAAACTCTGTATCAAATGCAGACGGACTAGTCCATTCAACACACTTGACACGGAAACTTTCAATGCAACTAAAGACGGTAACGAAATTCAAAAGGTAGTGATAACTAAGCTTCCGAGGTTTGGCAGTCCCTCCCAGTGTCCACTGAACCGGACTCACTGAGGGGGATCTCCATGCTTTCCCCCGCGAGCTAACGCAGGTCCTGAGGATAATGTCCAGACTCATCGCTGAAGCCAAGAGATCTAAACCCGCTTGTAAGGCTTAGCATATTGCAATAGTCAAACCTAGCAGAAACGTCGCAGAAGCAGCGCTGCCCCTCGAATCACATAAGTGGAATCATTGGCATACACACGTAGATCAATCACTTGTGGAGGGAAAGTCTGATTATATACACTGCCAAGAACGACACCCACACCAACACACAGTCATGGGTTATCGTTCGTTAAAAGGGGTTCTTAGAATTCATGGTATGCAATATGATGCCGCACGCTTTTCCGTGCCTTAAACTCCCGGTCGAAACATTGCGGATACCTACATCGCACTTTGGAACATCTCTTGTGGCGGACCAATTGTCTGACATTCTTTCCTATCACTCTGCAAAAAGGGAAATAATAGGAAACCGGAAGTAAGTGAACACTGAACGCTTTGTTCCTTCTGGCCTGCCTTGCTTGTATCAGCACCGGCGGTATTGCCACATGCTTGTAGCATTGAACCCGCCGCCTCGCATTCCCAACTGAGAAACTGCATGTCTCCCCAATCGTACGACCATGCGCCTGGTCTTATCCAGCCGGCCCTGCATCGCTGACTATCCGTAGCATCTGTGCGTTTCAGCACGGGACTCTTCGAACACGGCGTGGTTAATGGGGTGGGAGGCACAGCAGGGAAATAACGGGCTATGGTTTTTTTAACACCGGGCGAAGGGAAAAAAAGACTCTTGGAACTCCACCACGTCGGTTTCAGGAACGCAAAGTCAAGTCTTTTTTGGGATGCACAGCTCGGCTGCATGCCCCGGCCTACTGCATACTGGCAAAAACACCCGAGTGAACGCGGAAAGAGGAAATTCTGCCTCTGTGCGAGCGTCTCGGATTCGTCGTCATTGCCGGATTTGGTTGGGCTTCGGCGGTTTGCTGTAAAGTCCCCTTTCACTATCATGTTAGTGTTGTTCAGTTGTCACCATCAGATTATTGCAACGGAGCACAGCAGACGATTTGACATCAAATCATGGCTATGAATTTTTTTTATAATGTGTACACACAAGTAAAGAGTAAAAAAAGATGTATTGGGTATAAGAAAAAAGACTCGCAACCGCTCTCCAGGTCTCCGCAAAGCAAAGCAAAGTAAAGTTTGCTGCTTTCGCCCTTCTTCCCAAGATTTGAGTTCGCCGCGGTTTTGTGTGTCTCTGTGCGCTCACTCAACAAAGAGGATTGTACTTGTAGAGACTTTGAATTAGGAGGGAAAACCACAATCTTTTTGACGATTACCACGTGAAAAAAGGGAAAGAATTGGCTCAGAGCGTTCGTCTACCGTCAGCTAGCAAAGAAGCTGAAACTTCTCTCAATTCTAAGAAGATCCTCTTCATGGCATGACCTCAGGCTGGAAGTCGGCACCGGGCACGACGTAGCGCTTGGCCCATCGAAGGGATCCGCTCTCCTCACGCTTGGCGGCTCTGCCACGCTTGCCAGCCCGGCCCTTGCCGCGTGCACGTCCGTTGCCGCCGGCGTTTCCGGCATTGCCGGCGTTACCGCCGTTGTTTCCAGTGTTTGCGTTACCGTTGCCAGCGTTACCGTTGCCAGCGTTGGCGTTGCCGGCGTTGGGGTCAGCGGCAGGGGGAGCAGCAGCGGTGTTGCCTCCGGTCTGGCTGGGGCCGGTGTTCTCGACGGGGAACTCCTTGACGGTGACGGGGGGAGCGCCCAAGACCTTATTGGCGGCGTCAGTGGCGGCCAGCTGTTCGGGGGTTCCGTCCTTTTGGTTGGCGGCAGCGGCGGCGGGGAAGTCCTGAATATCCTGCTGAACCTGCGAGAGAACACCCTTCAACTTGGCGGCGGTCTGAATGTTCTGGGGAGTGTTCTGAGTAGGAGTGACATCGGTCTGCTGGACGGGGAAGCAGCCACCGAATGGTCCGGCGACGGCGTTGTTACGGCAGCGGACAGTGCAGACATTTCCGGTAGAGGCTGTGAAAGTCATATTAGTTTTGATATCAAGTTGGCGATTCGGCGTGTTCAACTAACCTCCAGTGCACTTCATGTCAGCGGGCATCTTGACAGTGACGTTGAACTGCTGAGCCTTTGCCTGGGAGAAACCGTTGGTGCCGGGAACGTTGTTGGTGACCTCAAGAGGAATCTGGCCGGTGCCGGCGAGCGAGTTGCTCGTCTGATCCAAATCACATGAGAAGGGACCAGCACCATCGGCGTTGACCTGGTGGATAGTGACTGTGACCGTGCCGCCCGCCTTAACCTGCGTGACCTGGTTCGCTGCCAGGGCGTTTTCGGTATTCTCGCCAATGTCGATGTTGCCAGCAATCTCGGTGCGTCCACACTCGTTGACGACGTTGTTGTTGATCTCGGCATCACGAATGATCGTGGCGTCCTGCTGACAGGGGTTGATCGTCGTGCAGTTACGGGCAATGTTCGGGTCGACTGAATATTAGGGTTAGTATCAAAGATCGTGATATCCTCTTCCCGCTCGTTCCCCTTTTGCGCAAAACATACCCAGGAACCCGACACTAGCAGGTGAGCCGGCGTCTCCCTGAGCACCGAGAATGGCAGCGTGGCCATGGGCAACGGCCAGGAAGGCCGAGCCGATTACAATATCCGTGAAAGAAAGCATCTTGTCTCGCAGAGACTAAGTCGGAATGTGCCAGCACGATTAAAGGAACGAAGTGAAGGGAGAAGTGAAAAGAGAAGGAAAAACGGAAAAGCCCGGTGAAAGAGCGTAGGCGCAGAGGAGGATAATATGATGTGTGGGTAGAGAGAAGGGGAAGGGAAACTTAAACACGAGACGAGGCCGTGAAAAGGTCGTCTTATACGAAGGCTCGCGGTCGAGGACCGAAACGACGCAAACACTGCCAAACGTCGACCAGCCCATGATGTACGCTGATCTGCTCAGATCATCTGCAACACCTCTTGTCGCAAGGCTGTGGTGCTGGGCGGAGTCGCGACCTAACCCTGAACCCGACGTATCTTGGCAGATGGAGGGTAGGGGACTGAAGGGGGTGGTGGTGGTGTGTGGTAGGGGGAGAAAGGGACGAGCCATGGAACCTTGGGGGGGTCAGGACCTCACTCGAGGTTGAAGTGGATGAGAGTGGCCACCAGTATGGGCAGTAATAGCATGGCCAACATGGTCCATGTTGCGGTGCAGTTCGCGTTGGTTCGAGACCTGGTCAAGCGGCTGGTAGCGAGGCGGTTGGAGGAGGAGGAGGAGGCTCACATGGGGGCACGATGGGGCAGAAGTTCAGTGACAGTGGATCTGAAGGAGGGTTTTGGCTCATGATCCCTGTTGATTGACGGACATAGTGACGGCGAGTCAACCGCTAGTTTTCATAAACGGCGACTAGCCGTGTTTGGCAGGGCCGAGACAGATGGAAAGAAAAAGGTCGGACGATTACGCGCTGGGGGGGCGCTGTTCTGAAGAGGCGAGCGTGTTTCATAGAGCATTAGGAGATTCCATAGTAAGCAATTCTGACAATGGCAGCGGACTGCAGACTTCCTAGTCGAACAGTGTCGACGGAGTGGAGAGCGGGAAGCCTGGCGAGAGTTGAAAGGTTGCGGTTTGCTCGCTGAACTCTGGACGCTTTGAGCAACGATTTCGCATATGGGCCCTGTTTTCTCCCGGGGGTCAGCGCTGTCCCATTCGTCTGTTTCCCAGGATAGTCCCATCTCTTCTCGGCCCAAAGGGGGTCACAGACTCGACGAGGTGATACAGACGCCAAGAACAAAAGCACCAAAGCGCGCATACGACAGCCAGAAGCGGTGCCGCGGCGAGACGGGCGAGGTGAGCCGGCTCTCACGCTCTCACACACTCTCATCACTCTCATTCTCCCAGTCTCGCTCTTGTTTTCTCTCTTCGCCTCCTTACCCCCCTCCCCTACCCTCACCCTTCTCCTTTCGTCCCATTCCTGAGGCCTTGACGTTGACAGGCGCAAGCGTGGGCTCTTCCCGACGCGGGTAGGAAGCAGAGAACGTGGGAACTCGTCTGGTGTATTGCCCCATCCTGAGACTCGCGCTCGGAGACCGGCCGAAGGCTGGTCGCCATTGTAGCCCAAAAGGAGCCACGGACGCGCGACGGGACGGGTAATCCGTCAGATCCAACCCAGATCGTGGCGTCCACGCTAGTCCGACGGACGAGAAGATGGGGGAACAATTTGTTCAGCTGAGCCTCATTTTCGCTTGGTCCCTACTGATAGGTAAGACGAGCGAAGTTCGGGAGATCAACTTCGACTCGACTTGCTTCGTATGTAGCCAAGACCACTTAGCTCCAGTAAAGAGCGTGGAGAGAGAGTTGGAGTGCAGTGCATCGAGCAGAGGAGCCCTACCGATAGTGAACTCTGTTCTTGGTGAGTCTGGGGAGCAATCTATCTTCTCCCACCGGCATCCCCGTATGCCAGTTAAGGTACAATTTAGCGGACGGGTACCTGAAGGCTTGCGAGCGTACCTTGCATGGCACGCATGGGAAGTGTGGGAAGGGGACATGGAAAACTCCGTACACTGCATTTCTCTCGCGTGCTTCGGGGTGCCGCACCGGCAAGCAGCGCGCTCTTCTGTCCGCCAGTCCAAGTCCAGAACTTTTCTCCTGCTCTCACGCTCTGTGTCTCTTCTCTTCCGGCGAGCGGTTCCGCGTAGATTGCCAACCGCTGGCACCATTACCCTAAAAATTCTCCGTAACGGAAAGGAGACGCGCGAGATCCACAAGATTGCTGCAAGGAGTCGTCCCATCCCTGCTGGCGCCTGGGATCTTAAGACCAGGATCTACCCTTCACGTTTCACCCCTGGCCCACATCTGGAAGCCAAGAGCAGGTGTCATTCGATCACCAGCAGCCTCAAGTGGGTGGGCTGCGTCGAGCGTGAAGGGAGGAGACTGGTCACTGGAGGTGGAGGGGGGGATGGACTCAAAGAAGGGACGTTTCGAGACGAATCTGAAGCAACGACATCGAGCCATGAGAGAGTAAAAGGGGATAGCTCGGCATTTTACTCTGAGCCTGTTCTGTGTCGTCACTCGTCACTCGCCAACCCTCTGGCTTCTGATATCCACAACCTCTGGTCTCGCGACCGGGCCCCTAGCCTCCGGGGGGTGAAATAAATCATAATGGGATTTCAGATGGGATTAATCTCGCCTCGCGCTGCCCTCCGCAACCGTAAAACCTTAGTGCTCGTCTCTGGTCTCTCAAATAGCCCGTGTTTGCCCATATTACCAACCTATTACCTGCAATGTCCGCCGCCCCTCCGCCGCCTCCCGCCAGGAACAACTCCTGTTCGACCCGCCTGCAACCTTATGCGACTAGTCAATAATTGATAATGTTAAACGGTGGCATCCTCGGCGGGAAGCGATGCATCAACCTCGCAGATTACCTTTTTTTACTTGCATGCAACAGCCCCGATGTAATCGTTGTCGCATCAACCTCATCAGTGTTTGACAGTTTTCATTACGAGACTCCCTTGTTCTTGTCCTTCTCCTTCCAGGCTTGGTCAGCGTCGGGATGAACCGACGGGCTCGCAATATGCTTCCGAGCCTCCTCTTTTTGCTTATAATCTGAGTTGAACCTTTTGTCTCGGTCGCCAACGTACTTGGCAAAGTCCAATTGGCCTGTCTGGGTGAAGCTTGTCATGAGTTGCGGTTCGCCCACGGGCAGCTGGTGGCCTTTGTCGACCTGCCAGAGGTGGAACACTTTTCCATAGAGCTGGACGACTTGCTCCATCTCCTTATTCTCTGCCGCTTGCCAAGCCAAGTCCGGTAGCTTTCCCTGTGGCATGATGAGCATGCCTGACTTGACCTCATACACATGACTGTGCCAGAGCTTTCGCTCCTCCGAGTCCAAGGTTTCGTAGAGCTTTGGTGTGATCATGTACTCGATGCCAATGATGCGTGCATTCTTCGCGGGGCTATCGTAGAGTATGCATTGACGGACATCTTCGTTCAAGTACCCGCAGTAATGATTTGCCTCCACCACGCGTGTGGGATCAGAAGCATATGCGTGAAAGGCGTTGAGGTGAGCGCAGACATTGCTTAATGGTGCGAAGTCCTATCTCGGTGTCAGAGATCGTGATACAATGTTGGTAATTCGTCAGAGAGGAAGAACGTACCTGCACTACTGAAGCACCAGCACTAAGCACTTGGTTCTCGGTGCTGATGGGATCTCCGGCATTTGCGTCCGGCTTGGTAGCCATGGTGGTCGATAAGCGAGATTGCAGTGATGCTCTGAGCAGACACCTGCTCGATTCGTTCAAGACGTGGGTGCTTGGGCTTGACGTTTGAAGATTGGATGAGAGTTGGTTGCCTAGTTCGAAAACTTGTTGATGGTTTCGTGCTTTTTTCCCTTCACTCCTTCGTGAAGGTTGGGGGGGATTTGCTCGCTTTGACAAAGCCCGATGATTCCCCTCCTGACGTCATCAATGCTGTTCCCGCACTCTTCGGCCGCGATTTCATCATGATTGCAGCATCGAAGAATCAGATGGAAACACCAACGGCAGCTCGGGAAGGGAGAACCTGCGAGGGCGGGTAGCTGCACAGGCGAGGAGGGGGAAAGAGGAGGGCGGAGCATCGTCTCCTGCCCGTTCTCCTCGGCGTTCATCTGCGGCAGACGGAGGTCGCCCCGCTTTCCCGGAGCAGTTCCCCGGCGCGGGTCTTCCCGCCTTAGCCTTGGCGTGTACTGCCGGACTCCGATCGGCCGGCGCCGAGGAGGGGCAGGGTGTGTCGGCCGGTAGAGCGGAACAATGCCCTGTGCTCGGATTCGCGTCGGTGATCGACCGTTCCGACTCACGTCGCAGTGAATCATCTCCACCAAAAGTTTGAAACGAATGCTGGCCTGACTGGACTTTGAAATGGTACGAGGGAACCGCGTAAGCGCCGGTTTGCGCAATCGTCGTTTCGAAAAGCTAGAGATTGTAACCAGATAAGATAGTGTGCTTGTCGCAGCTTTAAATGGAATTTGCATTCTTCCGAATGTGATTTGCTTTGCTTTTCTTTCGTACGGCAAACGACCATATGTGTCATTTACTAAGGTAGTAGTAGATCTTGTGATCTAGCAAGACAAGGTAAAATCAGTGTCATCTCAAATCACAATTCAATCATTTGGGAAATTGCCATGCACAAAGTAATAGACTACAGGCAGTCATTCTAGATGTTTGCAAAAACGATCAACAGTTCAATTTAAACAGATTCCATAGTGCATTGGTACTTTGTAACCTTCCCGCAGAGACATCCACCCACACTGCTTGAGAGCCTATCAAGCAGGCTGCCCTCCAGCAAGTTTTTGACATCATACCTTCTGCCTTGGCCTTCGAAAGACTAGACGCAGAAGATGCAGCCACAGCTAAAGTCGAAGCTACAGTCGCGCTTATGGACATCGGGATACGCGGCTACGATGGCGTCGACATAGTCCTTGCTGAGTTTGATTGAAGTCGTCTGACCTTCGGGGTTGGGCGCAGCTAGGGCAAGAGCCGCCAAAGCAACGGCGACGGTGGCGATGAGCTTCATTTCGGATGGGGCTGAGCAGTTGGGTGTAGCTGAACTTGTTAGAATAGCTCAAGTCTCAAAGGAATTGTTTGAGATGCACACAACTCGATATCGAAAGGACATACATCAGTGAAGTGTGATGAACACTGGCACTCAGTGTACTAGATTATTTCAAGATGATGGTGGTCAGAGAGGGTTGAGTTATGCTTTCGAAAACGACGAACCTGCACCTCTTTATACCCAACTGTATTGATACTGCTCTTGCTCTAGGCCATTTGTTTCATTTCTACGAGGGAGGTCTCACAATCCCGGCTACGAGGTACTTCATTCTCATTTCTGCCGGTCAATTATGTGCACATTTGAATCCTTCAAACAAACAAGATTCCACGAATCTGGAGACTCGCATTATGCCGCTAGGACGCGCCTTCTCTGAGGACTAGCTGCGGTCGTGTGGTCATCACCTTCGATGATACATGATACTTGATGAATATGGTCACTTAAGTTTCGACGGTACCTAGGTTGAGGTGATCAAGGCATCGGGAAATCTTTCAACATAGGCTCTAAGTCATCACTTCGACAGTGCCTTTTCAACCGACATCTTATAGGCTCGTACGTCCTAATGCAGTAAGCCTGCATGGAGCCCGCTTACCCATACCACCCCGTGAGCCGCCAAGACTATCACAGGAACTTTATGGAAGGATTAAGGAGAATATTGGCTGCTTATTCGTGGGATTGTGAAAGTGATAGTACCGTAGGATCTGATGTTGCGACGACTTTATGATTGATCCCAAAGCCGTTCGGTAAACATTCTGTAATTAGTGAGGTACATCTCGGTCAACGAGTGAGGAGGACCGCAGTTCCCCATTGTTGATATTTGAAGGATTCGACGAGACATCATATTTTCATGCGAGGTTTGTTGATGGAAGCCAACGGGACAGGTCGGATTTTTCTGTGCTTTGCCGTCTCTCAAAGTCTCTCGGTATTATGTGCAATTATCACCGAGGTAACATGAACAATTACCTCAACTCCACAAGCCCTGAAGATACTAATGTGACCACGACACTTCTGTGGCCCGAGAATGGGAACATACTGTTCCTTGTGATTGTATATGAGAATCTTCGGGGGCTCGGTGGTTAAAAAATCTGGTGTGCCGAGGAACAGTCCATTCCCACAACAGCTTGAACGATCAAGGCAGTGTTCACAAGCCGCTACTTCACTCGGCGAAGCCTGCAATGCCAATTATAAATCTGATTTCTTCTCACAGTATTATGTATAAATTCTATGTGCGCACGGTAGTAGACTGCAAACAGGTTGTAGTAATTCTATCACTCGATCTTGTGCGACTGTGGGTGCCATCATCCTGTTATCTGCGAGATAACTAGTGTTGACAAGTGGATCGGCGATATACCTCAACATCTTCACACCCCATGATCTCAGACATCTTGAGTGATACACTTGTATTAACTAATGCTGCTATGTATGTTCAGTATGTAGAGCTGACGCATAAAGTAGGTGGGTGAGTGGAAGGCTTGAGCTCTTTTGGATTTCAACAGGCGACGCATTCGAGAACCGAAGGCATGTTGTTCCCACCCTATTGGATACATATACCTCCGTATACATAGGCAAAGTTATGAGAGGCATTTGCTGACGCCAAATTGAGATACTCCATGCGTTCCAATCGAGATAGAACTACTCAAGTATCAATTAATAAGTACCAACTGAACTCGTCATGTTCCTCTGTGTAAGTTTAGACCATCTCGCACCAGAAGCAGATTTTCTGCCGGCAGAGCTCAACGTTCTTACTTTTGGCTCCCCTCACCGCACCATTTACCAGCTCATCATTGATTCGCGGCGGGACTTGTGATAGCGCACTCAGCTATGATCTACTTTTTGAATAATACTTTTGTTTACGAAGCTGAAAGTTAGGTGCTCTATTACCGGCCCTCTGTACGAACATCAGCCGTTGGCGCTCTCCTCGTCAGGTGTTGCCAATAGCCCTTTGATACATGACTCGCCAACCCTGACTCTCCGCATCGACAATTTCTGAGCTGTGGCCCGCGCTCGTGAATTCTTTATCTCAATGATCCCCCAAGATAAGGCCCCTTTCTTCACAGAGAACAAAAAGAAACCATCATAGGTATGGATATAGAGTTCAGCTGGGAAGTTTGCAGCGTGGGCATCGGAAATCTTTCCGACCATCCGCAGCCACTCAGCATATCAGGGTTGTCAGCCCCCTCGTGCCCTGGGAAATGTCTCGCAAACCCCTCATCTCCGCCCCGGTGCCATTTATGACATTTATGACATGCTCAATTCACCGTCCGCCCTAGGCTTATCCTGCGGAGGTCTCCACCCCGCAGATAAACCACCGAACAACACCGCGTACGTGAGACGTCAGTCGCTCGCCAACAGAGTCATTTCGAACGACTCAAGCCCTGCCATCAGGTCTTCCAGAAGGTCTCGCACCCCCCTCTTTCTGGATTCGTCCGCCTGCAGAGAGGGTGTGGTCGATCTACACAGATGAAAGGAAACAAACCGTTGGCAGCCGGATGAAGTGAGTCGCCCCAACGTCGCGGGCCCCTTTTTTGCAGACGCGAGAAAGGAAAGGGTAAGCTTACTTACTCGGCGCTGCGCGTGGCCGAGAAGAGAGCCCAACTTTGAGATCCGACAAACATCCCCCCCCAGTGCCTCGAGCAGGTCCCTTCCCAACACGGCCATGTCCCAGAAACCAACAAGCTTCGCTTGTGACCGGTGCAGGGCGGGGAAGCGAAAAGTAGGTCGTCCGCGCGCGAAGAAGAACTTTCCCAAAGTTTTGCTCCATTTCTAGACTCCATTCTAGACCCCACGGGGAAGGACCAACTTCCCCGAACTCCCTTGCTAGTCTCCTAGTCCTTTCGTGAACTGCCGTGACTAACGACTTTCTCCCGTCGGCAGTGCGATGCTGCCCGTCCTGCATGCTCCTTGTGCAGCAGGCAGAACAGGGAATGTGTTTACACTGAGCAACGCCCCAGAAAGTGTGTCACCTACTAGTTACCTTACTTATGGTTCACGTCAACTATAAGCAATGCTAAGTAGCCACCGAACTATGTCGCTAACGTAATCATCCAGGCGGAAATACTGGGATGAGGACTACGTCAGAGCCCTCGAGGCTCAAGTACAATCGCTGCTCTTGGCCCTAGAGAAGCAAAGCGTTGAGAAAGAGCCCTCCCCGGCACTGTCTCTGAGTGATCGCGCATCTCAGTCTGCAGAGCCCGATGCAACCCTCCGAGAAAGTCTCGATGGAGGTGACGCCACCGAAGGTCTCGCAGTCGGCGGGGACGACGAGGAGACCAAGGACGTTGTCTCTATAGAAGACCATGGAGGCAGTGCGAGTAAGGACTCAGGGACACAGGAGAGGTCTCAGATGGCAATGGAAGAGTTGTGTGTAATGCTTTGGAGAACGAATGTCGGTGATGGGGTAACCATCATCGACGACCCTGCCACTGGGTCTCACTATGCAGTCGATCCCGTACGGCCAGCTGTACCCATGGCCCATCAAGTCATCCCTCCAGAACAGGTGCTCGTTTACTGTCGACAAAAGGGCCTCATCCACGAGATGGCGGATCTGTTCTTGGATAACATCAACCAAGAACATCAGTTCACGCCGTACACGACAACCGACTTCCTGCACAACTACCCTTACCAAACCCCAGATGAAGCCTTCTTACACAGTGCCATCATCGCTACAGGCACAACCTTTACACGACGACCAGATGCTACCCTCATAGGAGATGCATTCGCGCAGTTCGCAGAAAGCCTCATCTTCACCTGCTGCCGGCAGAATCCCACACTCAAGGTCATCCAGGGGCTGTCAATGATGTCGTGGCGCTCATTGGCTATGGGGAGAGACCACTTTGGCTGGATGTTCATCTCCATGGCCGCCGGCATGTGCGTACATCTGAGACTGCACGTCTTGGCGCTAGACGAGTGCGAAGCCAGGCAGCTAGAGGCTACGGAGCAGGAGATTCGCACTTTTTGGATGTTTTACATCATTGACCGGACAGCCATCTCGATTCTAGGCCGTAACTGCGCATTACCGTGGCGGAGAGTAAACGTACCGGACTTTGAGATGACCTTTGAGAACTCTAAGGCGGGCCTAGGTCAAGTATCTTTTGCATGGCAGTGCAAGTTGTGGTATCTGCATGACCAGTACATGGACCAGGTGTAAGTCCTGCTTCCCCGTCTCCCACACAGATTTCAGAAGATGGACTTTCGTGAGTAACACCGATCTCAGCTTCTCAACAAATTTCGAATCTCTACCCATACCGCAACAAGTCCGCATCCTCGTAGCAAGCCAGGACGCACTCAGCGCCTTCTTCCGCTCCCGCGATGATAGGCTCCATCTGTCGGGGGACTCAACCCCGAAACCAGTTATCCAATTCCACCTAGCCTACCAAATGACAATCCTCATCACCATGCCCCCGTTCCTCCGCATTTTTGCCGCAATCTCACAAACCTCAGAGACAACCGAGCCCGGGAACACTGCGAACAACAGCAGCAGCAAGAGACAAAACTCGGAATTCATGCTTCTCGTCCTCCGCTCTCTCACCGCAGCAGCAACAGCGACTTCCCGACTCGTTCGGACCTACCGCCGCGCCCACGGCTTCGACACCTCCCCGAACCCGGTCATCATCCACCACCTCCTCAGCGCCGCCATCGTGCACCTAATGAACGCGACCAGCTGGACGCCGGCGCTGCGGCACCAGAGCACCTACTGGCTCCGGCAGTGTCTTGAGCTCCTGCGCGAGCTTCAGGTCTCGTGGCCTGTCCGTGCCGTCAAGAGTATCAAGATCATTCGTGTGCTCGCGCAGCGGTGGGGGGTGATGAGGGCTCTGCCCATCGAGTTCAGTTACCAGATCGAGCAGTCTGCGGCTACAGCGCCCGATGCTCAGAGTGACTTGGGCGCGAATATTACGCAGTCCAGGAGTAGGGACATGGGCGAGGCGGACCTGAGTGGTGTGAACCAGGTTCAGTTCGAGTATGAG